ATATATGCTTCCATTTCAGGTAAAAACGTGCACTGTTCGTCACACGGAATAAAATAACAATACTACTACTAATAATAATGAAATGTAACACGAAAGATAAAGAATATCGATGACATTTGTTCCGAAGTAGTTGGAACTGTTTAACATAAAACGACATCATCAGCATACTTTTACATGTGAGCAGGGAGTGGGACCGAAAGATCACTAATAAAGGCAGAAAAAGATATGGAGATAGAATAGCACCTTGAAGAACACCAGAATTATTAACAAGAGGTTTTGATACCTTCCTTCCTAATTTGGTGCACTGGACCCTCTGTGTGTGAAATAGTCCACAAGCCATGAGAGCAGCTGTCTCGAAGTGCCAAAAGATTCAAGTTTGAAAAAAAGGGATGATCGGGAAACAGAAGCAAACGCAGACGAATGGTCAAGAAAAACACAACAGACAGGCTTGGCTGATTTGTTCAATGACTCACCGATAAAATGGATTAGATTGGATACGGCATCCAATGTAAATCTATTTGGTTTATATGCAAACTGACGGGGGTCGTGAGGAATTGTAATAATTGACTGCAACCGACTCAGAATGGCTTTTTCGGTCAACTGTAGAGCCGCTGAGGTCAGCGCGATAGGACGAGGATTTGGGGATCGAAATAATGATCACTGGACCCCAGGAATCCGGAATCGACCGAAAAAATACGGACTCATTCACGACGGATGTCATCATGTTGGTAAGAGAAGTTGCTTCGAATTTCACATGTGCCGGAGGAATACCATTAGGGCCTGTAGCTGAGGATCCCTCGAGAACCGAAGAAGCTTAAAGATTTTGTCATTGAAAAAGGGCACTGAATTGGATTCATTGCATGGAAACGAGGGAATTTGGCTCTCATTTGACGCATGAATGAAAGTGGCATTAAGACTGCTTACGTTCACAGAGGCATTCAAGTGTCTTTTGTTCTGCCCACAGAGGAGGCGAATACCTTGCCAAAAAAGCTTGGTGTTTTTTTTGATCGCAGAATCTAGGCGGCGAAGATCACATTTAGATACATGATTTAATGCAAGGTGAAATTTGTAGGCCGTTTCCTTTCGCCTTCTCATTGATTTCAAAAAAGGGAGATTTAATTCTGCGGTTACAGACAAACAGAGCTTTTATGAGACAAGATCCATTTAATCGTTTCACTGAAAAGACTGAAAATTTTCTTGTACATTTTATTGAACCCTGTGGCCTTTTCCTTGCGTCTGGTTTACATGGTATACTGTCGTGTAAGTGCCAGCAGGATTCAGTGCTTCTTCGACGTCCGTAATTCCTGATACGTGATTCGTACTTTAACCATGACATATCGCTTTGGAATAAAACAAAGCCCAACGAACAAATGATTCACAATATACACAAAATATCGGAAAAGCGCACAAAGTACCGTTGATTAATTCCGCGGAAGACTAAGCTACGGAAGCATGTTGTCATGTATTATCGCCATACCTTAAAAATAAATAAATAAATGATATATAATTAGCTCACCTAGTCACAATGGCGAACACCGGTGGTTCTACACAGGCACCCATAAATAGTGTGATACTTTCATGACGTGTTCGGGTCAAGCGTAGCACATCTTGCCAAAAATGGACCCGTTCATCGGGACTAAGTTCGTCGAACACGTGAACCATAACTTCCCCATGCCATTGACCTCTGAGATTGATCAGAGAGAGAGGGAGAGAGAGGAATTTCGGGCACAACAAATAGAGAGTTGGCAGAGCGTCACAAGATCACGTGAGTAAGGCAACTGCAAAATGAGAAAAACAGTTTTACTGACGGAATGAGTACTCGTCGGGGTGTTCATCTCATCAACAATGTTGTGGATTCAACTGNTAATCGGACTCAAGAGTATTCAGTTACAGTTTCTGTTTTTACAACCTGTAAACCATACACTTTCGTTGGTCGGTTTTGGTTGCTTTCTTTCGGTCGCCCATTTGGATACAACAGCTGAATGAAGATTGGAATGTCGAATGCAAATTCAAGCGACAGATGGAGAAATCATATAGAATAGTGTATTTTCCATGTTTAACTGTCTCACCCACTTTTCATCATGTTCTGTATCTTAATCCACTTATCCCCTTTCACTGTTATTGTTGTTGCGTTGGCACCATGCTTGTTTTCAAGCCGGTGTTAATATATATATATATATATATATATATATATATATATATATATATATATAGTGTTGGGAGAATAACGAGTAGATGCATGAGTGCCACTGTTTGTGACACCCAGCCATATCGCTCAGTGTTTCTAACTATCGGGGACCGTGATCTGGGTGTTCCCAGCAAGGGAGCCTAACAGGAACTATGTGACTCAGTCTCTCCTGGTTAGAGTTTTCATATCCTCATACCAGATATTCGTTTGACCGCCCCTCACCTTTTCCAACCAACTACCTTCCGCGGTATTCCATCTGGTGTCATGCGCAACACGTGCCCCAATTAACGTAATCTATGGTGTTCGATCAATTGTTTCGGTGGACGACCGCGATTACCTACTCTACGTTTAACTTCAGCATTGCTCATCCAGTTTCTCCACCAGATTCGTGCGCTGTGACGTACACAGCGGTGTTCAAACACCGATAATCTATTTTTATCCTGTTCCCGTAACTGTCAAGTCTCTGCACCGTAGAGCAGCACTGGCCGAATTGCTGCAGTGTATACTCAACTCTTCAAAGACAATTGGATATCGCGACGACGCCACAGACGTTTCAAGTTGACAAATATCAGTCGACCCTTTAGTATGCGTGCCGCAACTGCATCTCTGATGCGTCCACCAGGTGACATAGAGCTGCTCAGATAGCAAAATTTATCTACTTCCTCTACTGCTTCCCCAGTCAGGGTGAGATTGAGGGACTTGACCGACTCAATCTTGAAGCAAAATTTTACACTTTGAAGTTGCAAAACGCAAACCGAACATAGTTACATCGGCATACAAACCATCGTCCCGCTGGAATCCAAACCAAACTAATCTACCGGGATCTCATTTGGTTTGTCGTTCTGTATTCGTGGAACTTAATTGTCCTCAATCAATCAGCACGTCCTCTTAGGCTCAGATAATCTGGTGATTAGCTAACTAAGATATGCTTGCTCGCACACTTGTCATCACCTCTTAATCATCTACTGTAATAAATTTATCCAGATTACATAATACCAGACTGATTCTATGCCTAAACGATGTTGTGCAGAATTCATACTTATTCATATTTTTCAGCGCATGCAAAGGTGTCTCTCTGTATCAAAAACTCCACATCAAACATGAGAAATTGTGGCGCAGTTTCCCGTTGCACGTGCTTCGTCATATAGCTCACGCGATGGACTATTTGCACTCTCGTACACATCCAATCGTGGTTCGACATTTGACCAGTCGGAACGTGTTCCTCGAGCCTAAAGTTGTTTTGAGCTTAACGGACTACTCTAATGCGGACTGCAACTATCAGCAGTGAGTTTTGATCAACTCGACTGTCTTGCTTACCTCGCTCTCTTTCCTTCACTTAGCATCAGGTGTACATTTGAGAAATGAAAATAGTCATTATTGTGTTTATCCTATTTTAACCGAATATCTATAACCACTGGTAGCAAGATTGCGAGTAAATAACAGTACGATGAAGTTTGTCGCACACAGAGCAAATGAAACGTGAACTGAATAGTTAATAGGTGCCGAACAACTCTTTGCACCTGATTAGGTCACATCAGCAGGGCAAATGCATCGAACGAATTGGGGGTTCGAACCCGGGACCAACGGGGAGCTAACCAGACCGTTTTTTATTTTACATCTGCATGATGTAGCGCAACCCATGTTTGAGATTTTATGGTGAATTTCTTCGCACACAGAGCAAATAAAGCACGAACCGAAAAGCAGTCGGATTTGTAACGTTTCAGTCGGTTTATAACCCTGTAGGTTATCGCTGATATGCTTTAGGTTTAATGCCCGTACAATGCCATCAAAGATGGGTTTGGCTATTTCATGTAAGAGTATAATCAAAGCACCCTCATCGGCTGCCCTGTGGTCCAGTGGATAGTTGCATACGTTTTACTCCTGGGGTTTCGGGTTCAAACCACAGCTGGGTCGATGGATTCACCCTGGTGATATGACCCAACCAGGTCGAAACCACTGTTCAGCGGTTCCCAGTTTTTTACTTTCCATTTTCTCTGCTCTGTATACAATGAATATATATTATTGTGCTAAATTTTCGTTATTCAACTTCATTCAGTAATGTGATTCGCCCGTTGTTTATTTAGCCCCGGATATGTGCCTATTCCAAGTCACAGTATTAAATATATCGCTCCTGAACTGCTTTTGGACGTGATGAAAACATGGAACGCAGAAGATGCGCGGGTCACGCAAACAAGCAATCCAGATGCGTTTGACACGGATCTTGATCCACACTGGGCGGGGTGTTCTGACAAAATCCAGCTGTACCGAATAACCGATCTGGATCGAATCTCACGCAGTTCCACCGACTGTCCGCTCCATTCTGGATCCTATTCACAAATTGATCAGCATCCTTCGTTTGACTTGCCGGTTGATCGAAGCAGAACTGGATCATTTTGTGAAGCACAGATATCCGGGCCACAAACTCGAGGTCGACGAAGAACTCAATCATTTATCGTGGGATTGGATACACTGATGAACCATTTGTGTCATTCCAGTGAATTTCCTACGTCAAACTCTGGTACCAATTCTTTCAAGTGGCCTAATTCAGACAAATCCAATCTGCAGAATTACTCGCTTCTGCTCCATTCCGATCCGGTTGATGCGCCCAATTCAAGTCTGCAAGTTCCCGCCCTGGGTCGGACCGGGAAACCGTCCTCGACCGGTACGATCAATCTGGTTCAAAGAAGAAGAAAACGCAAGATGAAACAACGCGGCACATTCTTCATTCATCAAACCATGTTTGACGCTTCCACAGATGTGTTCGCTTTGGGGTAAGCGAGTGATACAATCTTATTCAGTATGAAACTAATTAAAGATGTTTGTGCGATCTATAGTCGGAGGCTTCCTATTGACATTGATTGACGTCACACTGTGGCTCCTTTCGAATTCCCGATCGTATGGGATTCAATAAGCATCGGCTATGCAATTTACCCATTTAAAAACAATTTGAATTCAAATTTGAAGCAGCTGAATCAATTCGACTCACGGCATATGTGATAAATCTGAAATCGTGATTACCGATCAGCTTTTGATGAGTGGGATGATTGATACAATGCTAAGCCAAATGATTTCAAATCGGGAAACAGGAGTTTAACTCCAGGGCTTAAACTGGAGGCTACTAGTGCTTTCCGAATGTACGATAGATTTGGAGATCCGGNTGTGGGCGGGGGGGGAGGGGTTGTGTGTAAGGAAAAAGTCAAAAATCACATTCATCCACGTTTAGTGCACACAACGATTACCGGACCTGCAGACTCACAAAAACGAAATTCGCACTGTGGTTTTTTGAAGTAAAACAATGATCGTTGATCAATTGTTAGAAAGTTTCACCAATACAAAAATATTTCTAGATTAAATAATACTTCATTACATAATCATGTGTAACAGAAAATCCCCAGATAAATGTATTAAAAATGATCGAAAAATGTCCTTAACAGACGGTGACAAAAGAAAAAGGGCAGGGATGTACTGCACAATTATTTTTAATCAGAACTGTGAACAGATCCGTTGAACTGATCAGAGTCAATTCTGGCACGTGATACATTCCGGCCTCCCAACATTTTATAATCCCATTCATCCAAAAACAAACAAAAACATGTGCCCGTTCTGACTGATACTTTGGATATAAGCGTTTGGAAAACGTGGTGAAATGAAAAACAGTGCATATCCAGATATCGATCGAACTGGTTTTACATGACTCTCATTTTGAAAATACACATTTCAGTATTATTCCAGTATCATGTGTGCTTATCGACAGTAGTGGATGAAGGATATTTATTCCGAACTTTGTCTCCCATTCTAATGTTCTTAGTTCTCTTCTGACACGGTTTGAATTTGTGTGACCTTGAGTGTCACGAAAATATTTTAAAACATTTATTTCGCCCAATCAGTTGGAAGGGAAGCACGAACTGCGTGCTTTGTTTTCGGTCTCGTACCCCATCCCACCCACCACGTACGTCCCATTCTGGATAGTACGAAAATTTTCGCCCTGGTAAGGCACATTTTTGATGACTATCACTCTGGAAATGCATTCACAAAGATCATATTTTCCCCAGATAAATGTTAGTATCGCATCTCACTCCAGATTGGTCGTAGGGAACGTTTAGACTTCATTAAACATTTTTTCAGATTGATGCAGTTTCTGGATGGGTCAAGTTCATTGTTAAATTCATTCAATTATGCCCCAGCAGTTGGGATTTGAATGAAATCGATATTTTTCCCCTAGTCAGAAGCCGGGATAAGTTAGCTGCTCTCACAGTGATCATTAGTGGCCAGTGTGCGACATGTTAATGAAGAAACTAACAAATTCTGTTGGACAGTCAACTTGGTGGACTCCCCACAAAAATGACCGTCTCCAGTGCTCAAAAATAAAGAAAGACATATGTAACATTGAAAAATGGAAGCCTAATACATTTATCATGTTTAGAGTCATTTTGATAAATAAATTCCAATAAATTATAGTTATGTTTTTCTACGGAGGCTTTGTTATTTATAACTGATGCACTAGCGCACTGTTGGTGACTTCAACCATGCAAGCATTTTCTCTCTGCTTTCTTTTGGCTTGTCCGATTTGTCTCATTCTCCTACCGGAGGCAGCTCTATACTTGACCGGGTAATCACAAACTATCCCACTTTGTTTTCGCTCAAACTAATGGCCCCAGTCGCTACCGGTGATCATTGCGTTCTCCTCTTCAGACCAAAGATATACTCTCGCTCTGCATATCCAACATTCATACGATCAAACCAGACAAGGTTTCATCTCCGTAACTTTTCATCAACCCGCATTTCTCTTCTCTGTCGGTTGCCCAATCTTGGTTTGCTTCTTGTTCTTAACTGTGTCAGTCTTCATCGAAACAATGAAATCGATTTTCCATTTTTGCTGTCCCATGGAAATGCTGTTTGTTTGCAACGGCAAAATCGCATCTCCGCGCTTGAACTCACTATGAAGGCAAAAGGAACGATCCCATAAATCTCACCATCCATCTGCTGTAAATTAGTATGATAACTTAATCAAGACTGAGAACACGTGTAAACAAGACGTTCGCTTCCCAAATCCTGCAAACGAAAAACACGAGGCTTCTTGGACAAAGAATTCGTCTTCTCTGCGGACAAAAAAGGAAACACGTGAACAGTGGTGTTGATGTAAATAGCCTTAACGCTGCATTTCTTTATCCGTCAAACGATACTCAGATACTCTCCTTCCCATGTGAGGTTTCAAATTCTGATCTGTTCCCCTTTTCTAATGATGAAATTTATAGGCTCCTACGTTCATTTAAATCATCGTCATCTGCGGGCCCTTTCTCCAGCATCTCTCAAGTTTGGAGCAGCCCCTTTAACTAGTATGATGACATCTCTCATGAATGAGTCTCTTTCTGCACAGATGATCCCCGATTCCTGGCGACCGGTGACCATAATACCTGTTTCAAAGACCTGATCCTCAACCGTTCTTGCAAAATGTCTTCGTCCCATCGCATTGACGTCTGTGGTTCTAAAGTTAACTGAGAAAGCCATCCTGAGTCGCTTACAGTCATTTGTCATCATTCCCCGCGATCCTCGTCAGTTCGCGTATAAACCCAACAGATCCACTTTGGATGCTGTGTCTACTGTGGTCCATTTTATGAGCAAGTCATTGAACAATTCTGCCAAATCTGTTCGTTGTGTTTTTCTCGATTATTCGTCTGCTTTGGATTCTGTATTCAGGTCATCCCTCCTTTTTAAGCTTGAATCTTTTGGCACCCCGAGACAGCTGCTTTTATGACTTTTTGATTATTTCACTGAAAGAACCCAGTGCACAAAGCTGGGCATGAATACCTGAAGTCCTCTTGTCAATAATTCTGGTGTTCTTCAAGGTGCTTTCCTCTCTGCGTATCTTTTCTTTACTTTCATTGCTGATTTTTCAGTTCCCCACCCTGCTCATATCCCAAAATATGCTGACGATGTCGTTTTCTGAGAGACCGTTTCTTCTTCTTCGGAATTTTCTTCGCTCATTGAAAATCTGTCCCGAATCGAACCGTTCTCAAACCAATCTGGCCTTGATCCTAATATATCCAAGTGCGTGGGGTGCATTTTTAGTTCTTCCCGCTCGACATTCCCGTCAGACTCTGTAACCCTTAATGATAACCTTTTGTTTAGAGTGACCTCAGCCAAATATCTGGGTGTTACCGTCGATAATAATCTTCGGTGGTCGACACACATTCAGAACTGTATGGGAAAATTTCGGCGCCTCTCCTTTCAGCTCCAAAAGTTCAGATAATTTCTCACTCCCCAACAAGTTTTGTTCTCTTTTGTTAAACAATGCGTTCTCCCTATTTTACGTTACTGCTCCCCTGTAGTGTTTTCCGGTCTATTGAAACAAAACTTTAAAACTGTCCATTGTGGATTAATGATAATAAGCCGTGCATCTTTAATTTCTGCCGATTCATTAATCACAGAACTTATTAATGGTCATATGAAGTCTTGCATGACCTTTGCCAATAAAATTCTAAACGACCCCACTCATCTTTTGCATTTTGACTTATCTCCTTGTCGCTCACAGTCGATTACTCGTTCCTCTTATCGGTATCTACGCTCCCGAATAAACATTTATAAAAACTCTACTTTACCGTATTTGGCTCGCATCTTGAACAACAAGGAACGAGTTATAAATGAATTACGCCAATCTTTAATTGGATGAATCAAACTTTAGAGACATTTGTTTTTTTACACAGCACTTCATTGAATTTGTTTATACCTCTATATTTTCTCCGGTGCGACGACCAGTGTATAATTTTTTACTGAACTGTAAGCATATCTCAATTTGCAAAAGTTATACAAATATGAATATAAATACTAGCAATCATCGTCAAAATTTTAAAAAAATCGTCCATTTTAATGGCATTCGACTAATCGAAGCTAAAACACAAGCGGATATTATCACAAATTCGTTACGTCAGATGTTGGGCTATATCATATTTATTCCGGTGAATGAAGTTTGAAACACTAAGCTCTGGAGCGGGGGTGGTTGCATGAGTTGCATGAGTTCGACACCCGTAAAATCTCTGCCGATATCTTCAAGCTTCCGACACCTTGATCTTCCCACCAGATGACGATGTTAGATATTCAATAACAAGACAGACCAAGTTAATCAGTGGTGGTTGTCAAGACAACTGTTAGCTTGTTGCTTTTGCCTACCTATCTATCAGTTACGTGTCCAATCTTTCTTTCAATCAGAGAACGGGACATTCGGGGAACACTTGAGTGGAATTTCTCTTCACTGAGAGCCCATCAGTAGTGCCTATCTGCTGTCCATTCCAACGTTTAAACTCCAGCCCGATCGCACGGAAGGTGTGCGTGGCTGTTACCACTGAACCAACTAGCTTTCACTACGGTTGACCGGAATTGTCCAATCACTATTGCACCGATATTACCTTCAATAGTAGATACCATCTTATTTTGTCTCAACAGAAACGAATGGAGACAGTTGAGGAGCTATGGTAACACTAAGTCGCGTATTCGATACAAATGCGGACG